TATATATATATATATTTTTTTTTTTTTAGGTTCTAGTCATCTTTTTTTTTGTGGGTACAATTCCCCCTTATAGTTTGTTGCAAGTCAAGTGAAGTATTACTATTTCACACTACCTTTGTAAATGTTTTTGTTTGTTTCTCATGGAAATGAATCCCAACACAGAATCTTACCCTTACTGTTTGTAAGTCTAGCTAGCGCAGATTGCAGACACGTTTATATCAATCGAAAAGTTATTAATTAACACATTATTTTGCGCTCACTCTTTGTAAGGCACATTTATTGTTCATCCACGAGATACCTGCACTTATTATTTGCAGGCACACTTATCAATCCATGGTTTTTAACACAATATCTCGTGCTCATTGTTTGTAACGCTTAGTAATTGTTCCATCCGTCAGATGCATGCACCATAACACACCAAAAGAGTGCACGTGTAAACTATGGTGTGAATTTGGATTTTATTTTACTAATAAAGCAGTGGCTTATTTATAACTACACACAAAATCTATAACTTTATAATCATTGCAGAAAGTTAGAAGCTGAAATTTTGTTCTTATAAAAGAGAAAAAATTATTAGAACAGTTTATATTGTTCTGCAGATTATAGTTTGGTGACTATTAGACCAACCCCTTGAATATGTAATAAGATTATAATGCAATCGATATAAAGATAGTTGCTCCAATTTTTTAAATAATAAAAGTAATTATCACAAACATCAAGAAATAAATATAATTTACAACATTTAATGCAATTTATTTTATAGTATCTAATCTAATCTAATGTATAATATCTAATCTAAAAAATATATAAAACTAAGTTTACGACTTAAAATTTCATATTACCTGTCCTCACTCACTCATTCTCCTTCCCTCCGAAATATAAATCATAAAAAATAGTTTTTCATTAAATTTTTATGCTATAATATAAAACTCACTAGTGTGTTAACCTTTGCCCCTTCTTTTTATTCTTTAAAATGTTGAAAATTAAGATACTAATTTTAATGTTTTTAATATTATATTTATTGGTTATGGAAAGAAGTATTTTAAAGAATAACATATTAAGTAGATAATATTATTAATATTTTATAGAAAATATTACCAATATGCTATTATATATAAGACCCAATTATTTAAAGATTTTAAAAAAAATTATTTAGTTGATAACAATTTATTGATCATAAAGTTATCTTTATATTATTTATCTTTCTTAATTAACACTTATATATCTTATAATTAATTAGAGTGTATATTTTATACAATTGTTCTCTTTTAATTAATTAAGATAATATATTTCATATGAATATATTTCCCTAAATAATTAAAAAATATATTTTAAAAAATTTATAATTAATATATTTTTATTAAATAAGATAATATATTTTTAATTAAAAATAGTTAATTTTAAAAATAATTAACATATTCATATTTTTTGGTTCGTCCCTGGAATATCCAAGCCGATAATGGTGACTAATCTTTTTGCTAGTTGGAGGCACCTCAAAAGGTGAGATTGCTAGGTTGGAGGCACCTCAAAATGTGAGATAGCAGGCCCCAAAATTTAACGCAGTTGCATACACAAGGCAAGATTCCAACTCCTGACCTTGCTTAAACATAGATCAACCCTTACCACTGAACCACACACTTAAGATTAATTAACATATTCATATGAAATAATATAAATTGAGTCTTATATAAAAAATATTTTAATTTGACTTTTTATAAAATAAAAAGAAAGTTAGAAACGAGTATTAAATTTTTTTTATAAAAAAATTACAATCATATCATTGCAATGATGGTCACAATTATATTTAATAAAAGAATCCTATTTATTAGTTTCTTAATTAGTGCTATTCCACATTTGTCAAAACTCTTTTTATAAGTGCTTTTTAGTTTTATCAATATTAAAAAATTACGAAAATATAAAATTGCGGTATTTATTACTATTAAAGATGATTTCAACCCATACAACATTCCTACAAACGTATAAAACATAAATATACTCCTATTTATTTATTTATTTATTTATTGCTATTTACATGTCTAGAAACTACTAACATTTTACAAGAATATTTGCAACGATAATTTAACAAACACGTGGAGTTCTGACTTGCTTAAACCACCCCATGGCATGCAGGGCGTGAAGCATTTGGCGCCGCAACTCGACCAGACCCAGTAACCTCCCTTTACCGAGTCTCCCTTGCACTACACCTGCGTGCGTGCGTGCGTGCGTTCGTGCTCTGCAAGTATTGTCAATTTCTCATTCGTTAATCCAATCCCAAATCTCTCACACACACTCTCTGTATATATATATATATACAATCGTCCTCACTTGAATGTCGGCACCGCAGAGATTTCTCTGCACATTCTCTCACGCTATCCCTCTCTCTTCCGCTCTCTCCACCTTCAAACCTAGACCCTTCGTTTTTCTTCCCTTCGCTCACTCTAACCGGACCTTAGCTCCTTCTCTCTCATCAATGCCTCGCAATCAGGTATTCCTCTTTCAATTTGCTCGATCATTTTCTTTTGTCGAATGCTTACTCCGAAACTGAATATTTGAAGTGCCTATGATTTCTCGATCGGTGCTGGTTTCGAGGTGAAATCGCGCTGAATTGTAACCGATTGATTGTTTTGCAGCGAAGTGGCGCGCAGGTGGCGCGGAGATGGAAAGAGAAAGGCAAGGCCGAGGGACAGTTATCCGCTGCGGGAGACGCAGGTGCAGCCGCAACTGCGGCGGAAACCGTTACTAACAGGCTTGCTGGAATGAGTATCGGAGAAAACAGTGGCAGAACCGCGGCGCAAGGTTCGATTGCGATTTGGAAACCTAAATCTTACGGAACCGCGAGTGGAGGCACTGTAACTGAAGCTGAAAATGGAGCAGGAGTTGCTGCGAGTGTGGCTTCGCCGCAAAAGAGTAGTAGTAGTGGTTTGAGTAAGATATTTCGCGGTAATCTGTTGGAGAGTTTCACTGTGGACAACTCCACGTACACACGTGCACAAGTCAGAGCGACTTTCTATCCGAAATTTGAAAATGAGAAGTCGGATCAAGAGGTATATTCTATGTGTCACGCTTGTTTCCTGTTTTGGAAAGTGTCTTGTGATTTCTGCGCTTTTTGTTTGAAGTGTGTGCTTGAATCTTATCATTCTTGGATAGTTCTAGTGAAAATAAACGTAAAATTGATGGAAGTTTGGTGGTGAATAGGTTTTAGGATTCAGGGAGGATGAAATAAAGTAATAAACAGTTCCTGAGAGGAACTTTTGTCTCCTTGAAGGATTTCTGTTTGCTATGTGAAGGTGTGTTTGTTTATGTTTCCTCACACCAGTTTGTTCCAGCTTAACTAGTAGTTTTGAGTTTAAACCCTAAATTTGTTATATCTAGCTGCATGAAATTCTAGGATTACATCATGTGAAGAATACATGTAGTTTCGTACCAAAAATTACTCTGCTCAGTGTTAGCTGAAATAGCCCTGTGAACCTTGCACATTTCCTGGCACCAGAAGTTCTCTCACAAATGAAGGAATCGCGAGGTTTTTAAACCTTGACACTAGGAGAATGATCCCAAGTTCCCAACAGCCATGTATTCTAACTTTTTAGAAACAATATAGAGTAATTTCTAATTGCCTGTATTTGCCTCAGGTTTTTGCATTTTTTTGGGAATTTTTTATAACTGATAATAATTTCTTCTGGATAAGGAAATCTTGTTTTCCTTCTGGCAATTACCTATGCGTATGTAGTTTTAAAACTGTTACATGTATGTATTCTGTATGGCTGTAGGTCCGGACCAGGATGATTGAGTTGGTATCAAAAGGGCTGGCTACCTTAGAGGTATGGTGATTATACATGATGTCACATAAATTTTTATAATTTTTTTAGGGCTGATAAATGAACTTTGATTTGATTGATTTTCATTGGTTGAATTAATTTTATTGACTTGCATGTGCAGGTTTCACTTAAACACTCTGGATCTCTTTTTATGTATGCTGGTCATGAGGGTGGAGCTTATGCAAAAAACAGTTTTGGAAATGTGTAAGTGCATGACAGATTTGCCCTCCTTTATGTTTCTTTTTTCATTTAGCTTATGCTTGCTGTTTTATTTTTACCTTTATTGTAAATAATGATCATGCAGTAATTCAGCAAATGGTGAAAGGTTATGGCATGGGAAATTTTTTTATCCATACATAAGTTATTTGCTAGGAGTATGATTGTTGTGGTTTCCATATTTCTAAATACATTTTCCTTTATTATCTCATTTTGTGTAGCTACTTTTTGTTTACTGGTCATACCATTTTTTTTCCTGAGCAGATATACTGCTGTTGGTGTATTTGTTCTTGGACGGATGTTTCGTGAGGCTTGGGGAACTGAAGCTTCAAAAAAACAGGCTGAGTTTAATAATTTTCTTGAGGTAAAATTATAAATTATAAATAAAGAACATAGGTGGATTGAATTTCATAGCATGTCTAGGATTTTGTGATAGTGTTAGCAAAAACATCTCAAAGGATGGAAGAAATTTAGCTGCAAACATTTTTGGAATTTTGGCAACTGCAGGTACATCTTGTACATAAAATTAGAAAAGAATGTGCTGCAATTTTTTCTGTTTTTAAACTTTGCTTTATCATGTTCTAAAATTTCAGTTAAAATGTTTTTATCCCAAACATTTGGTCACTATGTGCACTTTCAGCCCTTTTATTTTATCTGGAAAATTCAGGGTGTTCTTGTTCAATTTATTGTGGCTTGAGGAGAATTATTCAGAGATGCCTTAATTGGGTTAATTATAATTAATTTCCAATCTATATCTGTTGAGAATTTGCCCACTCTCGTTATTTTATTTTATTTTTCTTTTTTAGGTTGTGCTTTCTAATCATTGCAGGATTAATGTTAAAAATGTATAAATGATTAACTTGTGACTAATGCGACACTCTTTGAACTGGTGGTACCATTTGGTTTTCTGTTTCTCTTGATTTTAGAACTAGGCAAGCTTGCATTTTGTGTATAATTTTGACTGATGTCTTTTACCCCTTCCAACATGTTCAGTTCATGTGGCTGGTGATTGTATTCACTTTGTAACTATTAGTTGATACTAGTGCATGATTTTGATACTGCATTTATTTAACTTCTAGTTTTTATTCATGCTCAAGCACATGAAATGAACATTATTATTATCTTCTTTTTCAGAGAAACCATATGTGCATATCAATGGAATTAGTAACTGCTGTTCTTGGAGATCATGGACAGCGTCCCCAAGAAGATTATGGTAAAATTCTTTTACTTGATCAGTTCTAGATAAACCCTGGTATTTTGAACAATATAGTGTTTTTAGCTTCAGTTGAAAAACAAAGTATCAATTGAAAAATTGAATTCATACTATTGTTTACTACATGATGAATTTACTTAACAAAATCTGTTTTTGGCTATGTCAGATTTCAACTATTGAATTGTAAGGAATATTATAGAGATGTATAGACTGAGCTGTATGGTTATAGCTACGATTACAGATATTTCATATGTAGTGTGTATTAATTATAGTCTAAACCTGTCCTGTCTTAGGTCTTTTATTAATTTTGCTATTTTTCTGATGCACAATCTACTATTAGTAATTACTAATTTAAAGTTTCATGACTCAGTTTTCTCCTGGACCAGGAGTTTGAAAGGGAATGAAATTCTTACATATGTGTCTGAGTTAATTCTTGACATGGAAATAGTCTACCGCATTAGGAAGCAAAGAATGCTTCAAATTTCTAATATTCCTGTTCAAAGATTAATTTCATTTGGAGTTTTTCATATATTTGTTTCATGTCACATATTCATTGTTTTCTTTTATAATTTGGGCAGCGGTAGTTACAGCAGTTACTGAACTGGGCAATGGAAAGCCAAAGTTCTATTCAACTCCTGAGATTATTGCTTTCTGCCGAAAATGGCGCCTTCCAACAAATCATGTGTGGTTGTTTTCATCAAGGTGAACATTGAGGATTTATTTTATATATAAAAAAGGATTTTCATTATTTGACATAATGCAAATGATGTGAATACGTTATTTCTTTTAAATTAAATCTGGTTTTTAAATGGTGATATACTAAAATGACTAGTGTTGCCTAAGAAACAGTGGATCATTTCTATTTATGTTGAAGCACCAAACTATCTTCCAAATGAATACCTTTTGTCTGTGAATTTGTAATCTTTTGTGATTAAAGTATGATGTATTGGTATTCTTTGTAGAATTTTTTTGGAGGTTTGTGACTCCGGCTTTTCTTTTTATAATGGTATAACTTTTTGACTCTAAGCACTGTTTATTTGGTCTAGCCATAATTACCTTAGGTTTAGTGTTATTAGGAGTGCTACGAGTAGGAGGGACACATGTTTCTTACGAATATGATTCTTTTTCTTTGGTTTGTTTCATGGTTATATCCCAAATATAATTTAAATAAACATATAATATGTTCTGTTGAGCTAATTTATTATTTAATTAAAATGTGTTCAGTCTTTTGCTATTATTTCAAGTCATACATTTTGACTTGACTTTTTATCATTAATATAATATTCTTCAAGTCTTCACGAACTAGAGAACATTTTGGTTTCACTTTCATGGCCCTATGTAAATGTAGAAAATCAGCCACTTCTTTCTTTGCTGCCTATGATGCCCTATGTGAGGAGGGGACTGCAACGTCTGTATGCAAGGCTCTCGATGAAATTGCTGACATCTCAGTACCAGGTAAAAATTTTAAGCTTAGCATTGATTCGGTTAGCTAGACAATGCATATATATATCATGCATCACACATGAACTGTTCTATTCGAATAAATGGTATTTGATTGAAAGCCATTTCAAATGATTACTTAGGGAAGAACATGTTGGCTCATTAGATAAATAAATGAGAACCCCTAAAGAAGAATACCATGAAATCACAAGCATTCTTGATGCCATAAATTTGACTTGTGAACTTCTTACCTCATAGTTGGTTTTTATTTTTTCATTACACTGGCTGCTGAAACACAACTTATGATGTAAACAGTACCTTCTCAAAACCATAATATAGACCTTCTGCTCTCACTCCCACTTTGTTTTTACTTCTATCATAGACAAACAATATATTTCTGAAGCCAACTTCTGGAGGGTTTGTGACTAGTAATTATATTTGCTACTGCAATTATAAGAGGAATTTGTGAACTGATATTCTACTTATATAATTCTTTTGAAGTTTGAATGCAATATCTTGTTTTGAAATTAAGTAGGTTTAGGGTTTCTGCTACTGCTAATAAAAGAATTTCTGAACTGATATTCTACTAATAGATGCTTTTTGAAGTCTGAATGTAATGTTTTGAAATGAATTAGGTTTGTAGTTTGTGTTCTTGTTTCAGTTCACTGTGTTTTATTAATTTCAGTATTTCATTTTCTTTTATTGTTAGTCTCTTTTAACTGCTCAATTATGTGTGAACTATTTGTCAATTTCACTCTGTATTTATGTATGTTTTCATAACTGAAGGTTGAACCACAACTTATGATGTAAACAGTACCTTCTCAAAACCATAATATAGACCTTCTGCTCTCACTCCCACTTTGTTTTTACTTCTATCATAGACAAACAATATATTTCTGAAGCCAACTTCTGGAGGGTTTGTGACTAGTAATTATATTTGCTACTGCAATTATAAGAGGAATTTGTGAACTGATATTCTACTTATATAATTCTTTTGAAGTTTGAATGCAATATCTTGTTTTGAAATTAAGTAGGTTTAGGGTTTCTGCTACTGCTAATAAAAGAATTTCTGAACTGATATTCTACTAATAGATGCTTTTTGAAGTCTGAATGTAATGTTTTGAAATGAATTAGGTTTGTAGTTTGTGTTCTTGTTTCAGTTCACTGTGTTTTATTAATTTCAGTATTTCATTTTCTTTTATTGTTAGTCTCTTTTAACTGCTCAATTATGTGTGAACTATTTGTCAATTTCACTCTGTATTTATGTATGTTTTCATAACTGAAGGTTCAAAAGATCATGTAAAAGCCCAAGGTGAAATTTTAGAGGGTCTTGTGGCTCGTCTTGTAAGCCATGACAGTTCAAGCCATATAGAGAGAATTTTGAAAGAATTTCCTCCTCCACCTGCTGATGGAGGTACGCTTATTGATTCTCTAAATATTGTGTGCCTGCTATATCATTTTCTTAGTTGTCAACCTTGTTATTTTGTGCTGTTTAATGATCAATATATTCAATTTATGCCATGTCATATGTACTTGATTGTTGAGGAAAGATGATTAGATATGCCAAAGCTTGAGATCATAGTACTGGTAATAAGTCCAAGTGTGCCAGGGAAACATAATAATTGCAAGCAAATTTGGACCTTTTTCAAACGGAAAAGTTACCTACTCCTCCCCTCTCTACTAGCGAACTTTCTCGACAATCATTAATATTGGTCAAAGTATATATTACAATTTAAAATAATGTATGATTTTTCCTTTCTTCTTCAGTGGCCCTTGATTTTGGACCAAGTCTAAGGGAAATTTGTGCAGCAAATAGATCTGATGAAAAGCAGGTATGGAGTAAACTACATTACTTTAATTAAAAAGTTATGTACAATTGCAATTCTTGAGTTGGATATGGAACCTTTCATTATAGCTTGTAAAACATTGCAATTCTTGGTGTTGTGTCTGTCTGCACTATAATGACAAGGTTATTTAGGAATAAAATTGAGAATATTCAAATCCAGATTGACTTTATTAAGTAATTTAGTATTGTGATATGGAATGTTTCTGCAGCAAATAAAAGCACTTCTCGAGAGTGTTGGTAGTTCTTTTTGTCCTGACTACACAGACTGGTTTGGGACCGATGCTGCTGATTATCATTCAAGAAATGCGGACAGATCTGTTCTTTCAAAGTTTTTACAAGCCCATCCTGCAGACTATTCAACTAAAAAGTTGCAGGCGAGTTTAGACTTTCTATATCCTAACCTTACACATTGAAATATGTAAATTTCAACCAACTACTAAATTATTTTGATGTGCAAGTTTGTTTATCCAATAAATTTCCTCAGTATATAGTTGACATCTCCTTTCTAATAAATTATTTCTGTATAATGAAAAAAGTGTTTACTGATAGTTTTTCTTTCTAGACTTGAACAATATTATTATTTTGCTCATTGCATGGTTGAAATGGCCTCCCAATTCTTGTTTAGTGTTGACCTTTTGTTTTAATTTTCTCCTGCAGTTTATGCTTCCACCTTTTTCTAATAAATGCTTTATTATTTTCCATTCATTTCATTCTCATCACAGCTTTGATTTGAATTTGAATCAGGAAATGGTTCGGTTGATGAGGGAAAAACGATACCCTGCTGCATTCAAATGTTATCATAATTTCCACAAGGTTGATGCCATGTCAAGTGACAGTCTTTTCTATAAAATGGTCATTCATGTGCACAGTGATTCTGCTTTTCGGCGATACCAAAAAGAATTGAGGTCTACTTTTAATCTGATTTTCTCCCTGGATAACCAGCTAGTTTAATATTCTGAAAAATTCAATTAGAGAATTTTCAATGTTTTACATCAAACATTTTCTTGATAATTTTGAGTTTTCAATTTTTGGCACTTTCAGGCTTAAACCAGGATTATGGCCACTATATCGAGGTAAATACTTTATTTTCCTTTTAATTTTCTAATATCATATTCATGTATGTGAAGTTTTTAAGCTAATGTTTCCAGCTCCCTTTTGAGCAACTATTGATTATATTGTTGATTAGGTTACCGACTATATGTATTGGTCCATGCTATTTGTTTAGGCATTAAGAGTTTGATAGTTTTTGTTGAGAGAGATGTAATTGTTTGTATTGAAAATGTATATTTGACCATTTTAACCTCTTCATGGATTGTGGAGCATGGATTTTCAAATTGAAGTTGCTTACTTAATTTTTGACTGTTAAAAATTTCATAAGCACTAAACAAGTTTCATTCATCTAGATTTATTTGGATTTCTCTGAAATTTCTAGAATATGCAAATCAAACAAATTCATTGATATTATGCTCTTCCGTGCTGCAATAAAAAAGTGATAAATTATTAATCCTGTGGATAATTTTCATAAATATAAACATATTATGTATCCCTCTGAATGCTTTATTTGAAACAACATTTAACGTTAGGTGCAAACTTAAATTATGAGGAATTTAGGGATATAGAGCATGTGGCATATTTCACTATATCGATCATTGCACAAACTAATGCTTATGGTGTGCTAGCTTGTGAAACAAAACACAACCTCTAATGTTATATATCACCAATTGATGCAGAGTTACGTTTTGTTGATATATGCAGAACAGATATATGTTGCTTGTTATTCTTATTGATTCATACAAGTTTCTGACACCTAAATGTTCGCAGGATTTTTTGTTGATATCAATTTATTTAAGGCAAACAAGGAGAATGCTGCTGAAATTTCTAAGAACAATGTAAATGAAATTGGTAACGGGAGCTCTGGGAAAGATGACTTAGCTGATGAAGATGCAAATTTAATGGTCAAATTAAAATTTCTTACATATAAGGTATACATCCATATTTGAAATATCTGATAAATTGTATCATTCAAATCATATTGTTTATGCATTTGAATGGTGATATGGTGCCCCAAAAGTATGTATCTTATTTATAACTATTTTTTTGAGATTATAATATACAGACTTTGTTCTTTCCTATAATTTTAAATTTGCCAAGTGACAGATTGTAGCTTGTGTGCTTTTTGTTTAATGTTTTATATATTTATCCAGCAGTTTTACAATATGGTGCCCTTAGGTGTGTGGAACATAGGAAAGAAACTGAAGAGCAATGCTAATATGTTTTGTGTTGGAACTATTGGTGACACCATGTGTTAATGTGCTCAAAATATAAGTGTAAAAGAAGTTTCTCGGGAAGGGTCCATTTATATGCTTTATATTGGGTATCCGTGTTCCTTTTTGTAGCATCTTCCTTGCTTCTTAAGCATATCTTCATGCCATGATTTTGAAGCATTTCTTCCATTAAATGCCTTTTGATTTTCTATGAGTTTTTAAAATTATTTTGCTTTGAAATTGCATTGTGAAAGTTCACGTCATTTCTTTGTGATAAGGATGATTCTTTGGTCTGTAATTTTGTTTAGTGTTGTATACTATCTACTTTAGGTTATCAAATAGAGATTCCAATCATGAATTGCCATGCTAAATTTTGAATCATAAATCATAGTTTGTATTGAACCATAGATTCAGAAACATAAAAATAACTTAAAATATATCATATAGATGATATATTATGTTGAATGTTATGATTTTAAACTAGGAAAAGATAAGAACAACTTAACTATAAGCCTCTGAAACAAAATTATTAGTTATATTTGAGTTTGTGAAACCACTATATTAGAAGAATGGAAATGAAACAATGAAATAACCAAATAGAGTGGTGCATTGATTGAGTGACAAATAAAGTAGGGGAACTGTGGAATAATCAAATAAGATAATATTAGAAGTGATCCTTCAATTCCTTTTTGTTTAACAATTTAAGCTTAGGTGAATTTTAAGAATTTTCAATTTCTTTTCCGAGCATTGGTGTAAGAAAAGTAGAAAAAAGAAAAAAAAAAAATGTATTGTTGAATCGTGTGATTTATATCGATGATGTGAAATTGTGCCGATTTATTCACAAAAGATTCAAAGTCATTTGAAATTCATCTTATACAATTGATAGCTAGCCAATTCATATTGAATTGTAGGATTCAAATTGTGAATCATAAGAGCTTAATAACTATGCTTTATTCTTATTCTTATTTTGGATCTCTGTCCCAGTTGCGAACCTTTCTCATTAGAAATGGCTTGCCAATTCTGTTCAAAGAAGGGCCAGGGGCTTACAAGGCTTATTACCTCAGGTAAATTGTGTTGCTTGCAGTGAAGACTATAAATCTAGTTCTTAGAGGATTTCAACTGCATATAATATTGACAGTTGGGCAGATTATTCATCAACATCACCCTTTCTGCTGCATGAATGTGTTTACTATGAGACTTTTCTGTTAGGTCTAGGGCAGTTGAGCATGAACAGTGACTTCATACGGAAACAAAGAATAGTACTGAATGTGCATGAAGGATATTAGTAGAGTCTAATTCTTAATTTTTTTTGGTCCTTTATTCTGCTACACAATAAAGTACCTTTATGATGAATCCTCAACCCCAAAATGTACATTTTCAGAACAATTTTTAACAAAAAAAAAAAAAATAAAGCCTTCATTAATCTTGAATCTATGGCTATACCATTTATAATCGTCTTCCTATTGATCTATCAGCTTTATAATTATGCTCTTCTGGTTTAGTAACTCTTAAGGGCAATAATCTATACTTGATGGACAACATGTTCTTGGTGTTGGAATTTATTGAATGGAAATTGAGATATTGTATCAACATGTATCATATCTGTGCATCATTGCTTTAATTCAATCATAATGATGTGAAAGATGTAAAGTTATAATATCTGTATCCTTGTCATCCAAGGTTACAATCTGAATTACATATTTCCTTTTTTCTTTTTCAACTTTGCAGACAAATGAAAATATGGGGAACCTCTTCAGCAAAGCAGAGAGAACTTAGCAAGATGCTTGATGAATGGTAGTTCCTGAATCATTTCTCCTGATGACCTGTAACTATGAATTTACTTGCTGTTTAAGTGTCCCTTTCTTTACTCTTTCCATCTGCCTGTATTTTTCTTTTTCCAACTATGGTTAGTGTATCTGGTTAAGATTTTTTCTCTGATTACAGGGCTGTGTATATAAGAAGGAAGTGTGGAAATAGGCAACTGTCATCATCATCATATCTAAGTGAAGTCGAACCTTTTCTTGAGCAGTTTGCAAAACGTAGTCCACAAAACCAAGCTCTGATAGGTTCTGCTGGTAATTTAGTTAGGACTGAAGATTTCTTGGCCATTGTTGACGGAGGCCAGGATGAAGAAGGTGATCTTGTGGCAGAGCGGGAGATAGCACTGCCAGGGTCTACTATCTCAGTCAAGGACACAGTTCCAAAATATGAAGGGTTGATTGTATTCTTTCCGGGTAATTCTTTTACTGCACTCATAGTCATTCCCAACATTTAGATTTATATTTTCTTGGTCATCATCTTCAAAACCATTGAAGATCAAGAGACCTTAAATTGTGTATAATGGGTTTTAAATGTGAGCATTTAGAGTAGGTTTCCACTTATATACTACTGTGGGTGAAGTAATTTAAAATGCCTGCATGTTGATGAATTGTCTGCTTTTCTGTTTCATGGACTCTTACAGTGCGTGGTAAACAATCTCCTGTTAGTGTTTAATGAAACTAATGTGACCATGGGACAGGACAGAAGTAATGAACTGTCCATGAGTTTAATGATTCCTCCTCTGCTGCAGAGCCCCATCAAGAACAAGGATTTGGAGTTAACTCAAAACTCCAAGCTTATTAGGTTTCTCTGTTTGAGTAATCATTCAAAATAAAAGCAAGAAAATGTATAATGGTAACTAAAATTATAAGCTCTGGGCTGTAAATTTTGAGTTGCTATAGTTTCGTGGGAACTTCAAATATGGCTTATTGGTGTTATGTTGTTTTAATGGGGTTTACCGTGGAGGTTTTGCATTATTCGTTTTTGCTAAATCTTGTGTCTGTAGTTTAGGCATAATTGATTCTGGTGTTGATGCATAATTAGCACAGTTTCCTATAATACAGTTATGCAGCCTAGTGCTTGAATTTTTTATGTTTTTAAGACTCATCTTCAAGGGATTTCACCCTTCTTCCAGGAATACCTGGTTGTGCTAAGTCTGCCCTTTGCAAAGAATTGCTAAATGCCCAAGGAGAACTAGGAGATGATCGACAAGTTCATAGTCTCATGGGTGACATGATTAAAGGTAAATTTTCTCATAAAAATATTTCATATGGTGCTTAAATTGCTGAGGTTCTTAACAAGCTTCGGATTCACATCATGTATCCCACTGTTCCAGTGATCTTATCTATAATCGCTGTAAATGTTCATTGGTATTATTATCTGTAATTTTTTTTTACAATTAACTGATTAAGTAGTGATAGATACCTTGAATTAGGTTTCATAAAGCATACTGTTCTTGAATGAATACTTATGTTTATCAGGTCAGTTCTACTCGGATAACTAATATGTAGTATTGTGGGGTATCAACAGGAAAATATTGGCAGAAAGTAGCTGAAGAACGCAGAAAGAAACCAACTTCTATAATGCTTGCCGACAAGAATGCCCCAAATGAAGAAGTTTGGAAACTGGTTAGAGATCTTTTTCATTAGGGCTTATTGAATTTATTTCTTCCGTTAGTATTTTCATCCTTCGCTTGATGGTAAATTGACATATTTAATAGCTAGGACCTCTCTTACATGGAATGTTTTTTGATATGATGAAACAAATTTAAACTAGAATTATGGTTGACTTGATGTGAGACAGAAATATTTCAGTTTTTTTAAATTTGTTTTTTATATTCACTAAAACCTTATGTCAGGTGGTAATTTGTGTTCTTCTTGGATGGCCGGGATAGTGTAATGTCATGATGAACTTTTTGTATTAGAAGGTAGACTAGAAATACAAAAGTGATATGAAACATATTTGTCAATCCCTGATAGTAGCATGGTATGACCTACTCCAAAAACACTAGTGGGATGGCCACTGTACTGAAAATTATACATACAGGCAGATAATTAATATTGCACGCATAAATGTTAAAAAAGTTCAAAATTAAAGACTTGTTCATTACTAATGATCGAAAGCCATAGTCTAAACAGTAAACACAAGGAGGGAGAACACAAGGGATGAAGTCCCGCAGCAGAACAAAGGAAATAAGTCACAGTAACCAAAATTAAAAAGCCAGAACAGAGCAGACATGTGAAGTTCTTGCCTAGGAGGGAGAGTACTACACATCTGTGAAGAGGAAACCAGATGGGGCGCATGAGTGGGGTTGGCTGAAATACCATTGGGTTGCTAGAAATCAGCTGGGTCTGTCCAGAAAATCTGTTCAGCTACTGGAAGTATGTTTTTTCTTTGAAGCTCCAAAAGGAGGGTGCTTTTGCAGAAATTCATTAAGTGAGATGGATTTCAAACCCTAATGCTGAAAGAATAGGGAATCACAAAATCCCCCTCCCCCCCTCCCAAATGGGTGGGAAACCACAGAAAATGGGAAAGTTGGGTTCTGTACCGCACAGAGTAGCTGCTGCAATTTCAGGCTGCACTGACCGCAGCAGCAAAGCAGTTTGTTAAACCCAAGTTTCCTTGAGTTGGCGTCCAGTAAAACCTTGCAGCCAGAGGAACTGGACATTGTTAAACCCAACTTCTACTGTGCTAAAGCATTTCCCATTCCCACATCTCGATGCACATTGAATGGGAATCCTATTCTCACAAAGGATTCATGTTCAATGGAGAACAGAAATCCATACATGCCTTTCCAAGTGTCTGGTATGAAGGGATTCATTTTAGTTTTGTCATGTGTGTGTATTATATAGTGAAAGTAAGTTTAGGGGGGTTGAGGTTGCCTCCTTCCAAGGTCAGGGGATGCTACTGCAAGGGCTTACATTGGTACTTCTTATAATTTAATTAGAGAGAAATCACTTGACTTTTAGCTTTTGATTTGTTAGTCTGCTTCTGGATGGAGTCATTCTTCTCTGGCTATAACTTTGAATCATCTACTTATTAAAATTTCTATACTTTAACCTAGTCACACTTGTCAAATATGCAGATAGAAGACATGTGTCACAAGACCAGAGCATCTGCTGTACCAGTTGTGCCTGAATCTGAAGGTTATGTTTGTTGTCAGTTCTAAATTTTTGTTTCGACTAAGTCTGTTAATGTTTGTTTTATAAATCTAAGGACATTGTGTCTTTCATCTCAACATAAAACCAATTTTGAAGATTTTGCATACCCTTTTTGCTTCATATACTTTAGTCTCTAGTAACATGCTCGAATAGTGTTCTTAATTTGTTTTAAAATCTGGAAAAATTTAAAAATGATATTGGTCTGGCCTGGTTACAATAAGAAGTGTCAGCTGTGTCATATACTCGTATGTTTCTTGACAGTAAAGAACTCGACTTTTAGGTCCATTATCTCATACAATGCTTCTCAGTAATGAAGAACTCCATTTATTTTCAGCTTCATTTTCATCTTAGTATATTCATCTCTCTATTTTGTTGTGCAGGAACTGATTCGAATCCATATTCTCTTGATGCATTAGCTGTTTTCATGTATCGTGTTCTTCAACGAGTTAATCACCCGGTATATGTTGTTTAGTTTTTTCTGGGAATATGATCCCTGATCTTTCCAAAAGTTTTATTACCTTCCACTGACTTTATTTGATATTTTGAAATTTCTCAAGGGGAATCTTGACAAAGCATCTCCAAATGCTGGCTATGTGCTGCTAATGTTTTATCATCTTTACGAGGGCAGGGTACAATGCTTCTTTTCTTGTTACTCCATGCTTATATATTTAAATGCTTTTTAATTGTATATATTTTAAGATTTTCCGATGCTTGTCAGAGCCGTAAAGAGTTTGAGGGTGATTTAATTGAGCGTTTTGGGTCTCTTGTCAAGATGCCACTATTGAAATCTGATAGGTACTTTCATGATATCACTATCTGTTAACTGGTATCAATATTTTTATTTTATTTTCTTGTTTATCATTTAATGTTCTTAAAGTAATTAACAGCCTGGTAGTATCCATTATATCCCAATCTTTCTGTTATTATCTAAATTTACTTTTGTTATGCTGACAAAAAGTAACTGATGAAATTTACTACTCGTATATCCAAACACTGTTTCCAATAAGGAAATCTTGATTCTTAAGATAGATTGTGAAAGGTGTACTTAAAATAGCTGGGGACAATGTAACTAAGCGAGTGCTAGCAACACACTTGTAACACTTTTTTATTAGTTAAAATTTTTTGAAAATTTCAAAATTGTGAGAGATTTGTTAAATAAAATGTGAAAACCACAAATTATGATTTTCAATAATTTCAATTAATAAGAGGGAGAGGGAGCCTGTTCAAAAAAATATATTAGAGAGTATGTTCTTAGCATTTCAAAACCCCGCCACAAAACTGGTGGTGGTTTTACCAACTCCATGAACCCAATTACAAAAATTGTAGAAGATGAAGAGTTCAGTTATATATATATATATATATATATATATATATTTTTTTTTTAACTTTAGGAACCTCTGTTCAAGCTTGTCTCCTTCCCGAAAGCTCGAATTCTCGCACCGAGGTAAGGGAAACTAGGTTTTTGCTGATTTTGGGTTGTAAATGAGCTCTAGAAGCTCATTAGTTGCTTGATGTTGGATGATTTTCTTCCCTCTCAAATTCTTCCTTTGCTGATTCACTTTCGTTGCTTGTATTTAAGGTGCTGAGTAGGTGTTTGATTTTTGCTGAGCCGTGCGGAGCTTTCTCAAGCTTCCCCTTCTTCTCCATTTCTTCTCTGTTCAAGCTTGTCTCCTTCCCGAAAGCTCGAATTCTCGCACCGAGGTAAGGGAAACTAGGTTTTTGCTGATTTTGGGTTGTAAATGAGCTCTAGAAGCTCATTAGTTGCTTGATGTTGGATGATTTTGGCTGAGATTGAAGAAAACTCACTTTCGGGGTTTTCGGGTTTTGGGGTGAAAATTTGGGATTTTCCTTGTTTATGGTTGCATGTTGAAAAAGATGATGTTTTTGAACTCTTTGATGAAAATGTGAACTTTTGGATGGTTTGCATGCGGATTTTCTGGTTGTTTTCACAGGTTTTGAAGAAAATTTCGAAAGTTTGAGGGTTGCTGCTGAGCATCACGCCAGGCATAGTTCTACGCGTCGGGTGCATGACCACCAGAGGGCTCCATTGGGCAAGCCCGCCGGGCGCAAGGGTGTGTACGCCGGGCGAGCTTGAGAATGTGAGCCTCTAGATGGCCCACGCCGGGCATGGTGGGACCGCGCTGGGCGCGATATCAGGAAGTAACTTGGTACTTTGTGGTTCTGGTGTGGCGCCGGGCGTGACCACGTCTCGCCGGGCGTGGAGACTCCTTGGGAGTCTCTGCCAGAGGTGGCACTTGGCGCAATTGGTATTGCGCCAGGCGTGAGACTTTGGGGAAGTCTCTGCTTACCCTACACCGAGCGCGGGTTTGCACGCCGGGCGTGTGAGACCTCTTGAGGTCTCTGCCTCCTAACATGCCGGGCATAATGGGAATTGCGCCAGGCGCGCTTGAGCCCTGATGCTCTCTGGTTGTGCCACGCCGGGCGCGACCATGAGTGCGCCGGGCGTGGATGAGATGTTGTATTACATGCTGTTATATGCTGATATGTGTTGAATTATGTTGAAATTGCTGATAGATGTTGTTACATGCTGAGTTGAGCTGTAAATGATGAATATTGATGTGCTGTTAGATAAAATGCTGAATTATGATGTTAAGTTGTGCTGTATAATGTTAAGCTGTGCTGTATAATACTGTGTTGTGTTGCATGCTGATATAAACTGTTGTAGGCTGTAAGGCTGAACTGTCGTAGGCCGTAAGGCTGAGCTGTCGTAGCCGTAAGACTGAGCTGTTGTAGGCCGTAAGGCTGAGCTGTTGATCACTAGGACTAGAGGAGATGTTTTTTTTTTGAAATTCCTCATCCCATTGTGTGGATTGAGTGACTGTGGTGCTCTTAGAGTCCAATTTGTTAAAAATCCTCCCTGGAAAGCTGACCCTTGGAGTGGTAACTTGTTGTTCTCCTCTAAGTTCATAGTGGTCCCGTGTGTGGGTAAGGTCGAGGCACACGTGTACAAAGCGACCATGATATAGGGGCAAGGTCAAGCTATACCGCTTACAAGCGACCAAATCTAGCTGATATGCGTGACGACGCATTTGTGTGTTTATTGCTGTTTATGCTGTAGATGTGATAAGTTGTATGCTGATGATGTGCTGATAGCTGTAGCTGTTTACCATTCATGTATTTATATATATGTATGTTGATTCCTTTCACTAGCTTACCCCTTGTTGTTTCCATGTGGTTTGGACTACGATGATCATACTATGTATGGGAGCAGAGCAGGGTTAGGTTGGTGTGCTGAAGTGAGTCTGCAGTTGGCAGATGGAGTTTTATTCTTTTGTTGTTTTTAGCTACTTAGTGTAGCGTTGCTGGATGTATTTTGTGTACTTCGTGTTGTAGCCCAGATTTGGATACACGTAACCGACCCCCGAACCCAATTCTGGTTATCAAGGCCATTATTGGACTTTTGAAAACCTTTTCTTTTTCCAATGTTTTGAGTAAAACATTGGTAGCGACTCCATGAACCTATTTTCAAAACCATTAATTAAGGATTAGTCTGGTGTCCGGGCATTCCTTAATTGATGAGATTTTCAAAAGGATGTCTAAACCATTAACCGCGAGATCGGAAATTTTTTGGTTGCGACAGTCACGACTGTGATTGGCACTGTCAGAGGTCAATAAATGTTATAAGAGTGAGAACAAAGTCAATCACAGACATGACTCAGAGTTCATGATCATGGTCCTTATAGCCTGAAGTCGAAAAACATGAGCAGTATTAGAACAAAGCTTCTCACAAGTGTGACAAAATTTGTCACGATCGTGATTGTCTTAGGAGTCCTTATATGAGTCAAGTTAGTTGTTGAGATCTTCAAGAAAGTTTTAGCCTTGGATGTTCAATTTTCAATGGCTTTAAAATCACCTAAAAAGGAGTTCTTTAACTTAAGTTATGACCTTTTTTGTGAGTAAAGATCAAACTGTTAACATTAGTTCAAAACATTATATTTTTATGATTTTTAGTATAATAGATGATGAGATTATAACTTTTAAATTTGAAAACTAAAAATAAATTTATCCAAAATTTAAGGAATTAAAAACATATTTAAGTCTAATATATTTTAAAACTTCCGCTAACCTATAACAAAAAAGCTTAGTTAACCAAATCATACGAGTTACTCTATTTCAATAAACTCCAACTCTTAAGTCTTTGATTAACGGATCTACGCAAGTATGTTTTCTCTATACAATGCTGTCAATTTAAGTTTAAAATTTGTAAAGGTTAATAACATAATCTTTGTGTATCAAAGTGCTCACAAAAGCCCAATAACAATAATAATTATATGTAAATTAAACCAATAAATACTGAAATATTTGATATTCAGTTAAATCTATACCACTTATATAGTTTAGGATGACAATTTTCGGAACTAACCTTGATATGTGATTCATCTTTGTGTTATCTAATGAACTCGGATGACTTTACGAGATTATAAACAACTTACAATTGTCATATTAAATGATTAATAAATGAACATTAAACCATTATGAAGAAAACAAAAGGTTCTGATTATAAATCTATACAACTTATGTAGTATAGGATGGCATAATTTTCAATTGCTTTAAAGATTACTCGATAAAATATCTTAATGATATTTTATAAGTGAACACTTTAAAAGCACATACGCCACATAAAATTTAATCCCAACTTTTGGATTTTTATTTGTTATAAATAGAAAAATGCACAATTGCATCGGTCACTGCATATGTTAATTAATATAAAATAAATATGATTTAAATGTAGTACAATCCAAAATTTGTTTGATCAAGGCACATTCAATACTAATGCATTCTAGATTAGTTGGTTGAACAGTGTGTGGATTGTCATAAATTTTTGTATACTGAATTCAATTCTCATATATAATAAAAACATTAAAAAAAATACTTGGTAAAAATTTGTCACAATATTAAGAATAAATAAACTAAGGGTCTAAATTTTGAGAGTATAATAGTAAAAAACACAATGTATATATTAAAATGTTAAATTATGTCAATTATAAATTTTATTAATACACATAAATGGCAAATAATATACAATTCATATATACACTTATTTAATCTAGAAACAAGTAAGATTTAACCATGTAGTGGATTTAATTTTGTGACAACAAGATTTGGAGTGCCTAAACCCCAAGATCAATAATATAAAATTATTTTGGATAAAAAAAACCCAATTATTTTAAATTAAATTCCACGATATAACGATTAATAATATTGAAAAAAAAAGGAAAAATGAGACAACACAAATGTTGACATTCATTTACTCCCGATTAATTTAGAATTTATTATATTATCAAAGCTCATTAAATCACATTAAAAGTAAATAAATAAATAAATAAATAAATAAATAAATAAATAAATAAATAAATAAATAGGACATTACACTTTAATCTCTCTGTTCTTATCTAATTTACTAATTTATTTTTATTTGTTTTTGTGAGACCCCGTACGGATTTTTTTTCCCCAAAACTCTCATTCACTCAAACTCTCTCATTCACTCTCTTCTTCCCTCTCAAATTCTTCCTTTGCTGATTCACTTTCGTTGCTTGTATTTAAGGTGCTGAGTAGGTGTTTGATTTTTGCTGAGCCGTGCGGAGCTTTCTCAAGCTTCCCCTTCTTCTCCATTTCTTCTCTGTTCAAGCTTGTCTCCTTCCCGAAAGCTCGAATTCTCGCACCGAGGTAAGGGAAACTAGGTTTTTGCTGATTTTGGGTTGTAAATGAGCTCTAGAAGCTCATTAGTTGCTTGATGTTGGATGATTTTGGCTGAGATTGAAGAAAACTCACTTTCGGGGTTTTCGGGTTTTGGGGTGAAAATTTGGGATTTTCCTTGTTTATGGTTGCATGTTGAAAAAGATGATGTTTTTGAACTCTTTGATGAAAATGTGAACTTTTGGATGGTTTGCATGCGGATTTTCTGGTTGTTTTCACAGGTTTTGAAGAAAATTTCGAAAGTTTGAGGGTTGCTGCTGAGCATCACGCCAGGCATAGTTCTACGCGTCGGGTGCATGACCACCAGAGGGCTCCATTGGGCAAGCCCGCCGGGCGCAAGGGTGTGTACGCCGGGCGAGCTTGAGAATGTGAGCCTCTAGATGGCCCACGCCGGGCATGGTGGGACCGCGCTGGGCGCGATATCAGGAAGTAACTTGGTACTTTGTGGTTCTGGTGTGGCGCCGGGCGTGACCACGTCTCGCCGGGCGTGGAGACTCCTTGGGAGTCTCTGCCAGAGGTGGCACTTGGCGCAATTGGTATTGCGCCAGGCGTGAGACTTTGGGGAAGTCTCTGCTTACCCTACACCGAGCGCGGGTTTGCACGCCGGGCGTGTGAGACCTCTTGAGGTCTCTGCCTCCTAACATGCCGGGCATAATGGGAATTGCGCCAGGCGCGCTTGAGCCCTGATGCTCTCTGGTTGTGCCACGCCGGGCGCGACCATGAGTGCGCCGGGCGTGGATGAGATGTTGTATTACATGCTGTTATATGCTGATATGTGTTGAATTATGTTGAAATTGCTGATAGATGTTGTTACGATCGGCCTACTGCAGCAGGTCGTGTCTTTGCTTTAACAGGTGCTGAAGCTGAAACGACATCTGAGCTGGTAAAGGGAAAGGGCAAAGATGATGGTAATGATATTTCTATTTTATTTGATTCTGGTGCTTCACATTCTTTTATTTCTTATGAGTGTGTGGCAAGGTTAAATTTGGTTGTGAATTCTTTGTGTGTGGATCTAGTTGTTTCTACCCCAGCTTCAGGGTCTGTTTTGACTTCTGAGGTTTGTTTGAGATGTCCAGTGGAGGTGGAAGGGCGTTGTTATAAAGTGAATTTGTTTTGTTTACATCTATTTGAGTTGGATGTGATTTTAGGGATGGATTGGCTTTCTGCCAATAGGATTTTGATAGATTGTTCAGAAAAAAGATTAATCTTTTCTATACACTTAATAAAGGTGTTTATTATTCTATTCTCTAATAGGAACCTAATTAAAATAATCAAAAAGTTCAGGGACCTACTGGTTTCATTTCATTATTACATTTTCCTTTTACATCTGGTTGGAGTCGCTTATATCTGCTTTATATTTTCATTTGAGAGTATTTCTTTGCAGATGATTTACAGTTGTTATGGGATAACTCGAGCCCGTTTTCATTATGAATAGAAAGCTCACTAGAACTCTGAAGCAGACTGTATAGATCTATTCTCTCTCTAATGTTTCTTATTTGTGCTTTTCCCCATGTGCAGGAATCCCCTTCCCGAGGCAGTGCAGTCCATTTTAGAGGAAGGAATTGATCTATATAAACTCCACACTAAGAGACATGGAAGGTTAGATTTATGATATTTCACTTGCATATGTGAAGATTATTACACTATAGTTTTTGTTTTGAGAATGTATAGTGGACTTGGTAGCTTCTACAACTACTACAGCAATAGGATGTGACCTTTTTATCATCTGTGTTAGGGTATATTGGGATGTATTTTGGATTACAATGCATAGAACTTGCAGTAAAATGAAGGAACCTAGCTGCATATCAGCCTCCGTACTTCAGAAAATTTTATTACCCCACGCTGATATTTGTTCCAACCTGCAGAAAATGTTTTCGTCTTGCTTGTGTTTTAAGTCAAAACAGCAGTTTTGTAACTTTAATTCAATTGTTGGACAAACTTCATTTTGATTTTTCAAATCTTTAGATTTCCTCCGTCAATTATGGGAAGGTCCAATACCCTAGGCTGTACTTATCTTCACCCATGTATTCCCCCGACAATCGTAGTGCTATAATGCACTTGAATTTTCCATCCAATGGTGTTCTTATAGCTGTAATTGAAGTATGAGTGACAACAATATGTCAAGTGGCCTCTTGTTTACTTTATTTAACCCTGTTTTGAGGTGATTGGAGTGAACTGAGAAGATGACAATCTTAAATTGATCCTTATTGTGATAGATTAGAGTCTACCAAAGGATCATACGGAAAAGAATGGATAAAATGGGAGAAACAGTTACGGGAAACTCTTTCTGGAAATGCCCAGTATTTCAATTCTATTCAGGTTAGTACATCTAGCATTTTTCCCGCTATTGTCACATTCTCTGTTCTTTTTGTCCACTGTTATCTACTGTGTTCATCTAACATTTTAATAACCTTGGTTTTTGACTAGGCATTAGGCAATGCCAATGATTGTTTTTAAAATCTACAATTATGCTCTGAACAGCTATTTTTTCCCCTCAACATCCTCTAGGTTCCATTTGAATTTGCTGTCAAGCAAGTGTTGGAACAAATAAGAAACATTGCCAAGGGAGATTACACACCACCAGATTCTGAAAAGAGGAAATTTGGTACCATTGTTTTTGCTGCTCTTAGCATGCCAGTTACTGAAATTCAAGGCATCCTCAATAAAGTAAGGAAACTTCTGCTATTCTAGTTCTAGTTGCATTCTGTTTTCTACACTCGGTGTGTTAACTGAAAACTAACTTTATTTTGCTCAGCATTATTGTTGACTTTTAACTATAAAGGCCATGAAGAGACAAACAGCCTGAATGAAAGGCAAATCATATTTAATGTTGAGGAGTTTGTTTGTTTGTTTGTTTTTTTTTTTTTTCCCTTTTCTTTTCTTAGGGTGGGGGTAGAGATTGGAGAAGGTAAAAGAAATTTACTATATTTGTTTTTTGTAGCAGTATTAGCCTTTAACCGGTTTATACCTATCAAACCCATCTTATTACATTCAACGGATCAAGAGACTTGACCAGCTATGAGCAATTTTGTTATCTATAAGGTTAGCTAAGTTCTGCAATGTAGGTGGCGGGATGGCAGTAATAAAAATGCTTATTAATTAGACCGTTTATTTCACTTCGATCTTGAGTGAGAGATATTAGCCTTACCTTGTATCTGGAAGAAGCTTTCTTACTTTGTTCGGTATTTCCATTTGAAAGAGGCCATAAGTAAATTATCCATCCACAAGGGCTCTATGGGTGGTTCTTATCCCTCTCCCTTGGTTTTCCTCTTTTCCTTCTTTTGTCTACATCTACCTCATTTGTGTATCCAAAATGTTTTCCACATCCGTGTGTGTTACCTTGGTTTTAGGAAACAGTATCTGATGCAATAATATATGTTATGCAGTTGGCCCAGAGTAATCCCAAGATTGACGTATTCCTTAAAGACAAACGTTTAGAGAATCTTAATCGAGCTCATTTGACTCTTGCCCACAAGAGAAGTCATGGCGTAAAAGCTGTAGCTGATTATGGTATCTATCTTAATAAAGAGGTGCCAGTGGAGTTGACAGCATTGCTCTTCTCAGATAAAATGGCTGCATTTGAAGCTTGTCCCGGGTCGGTGGATGGTGAAAAGATAGTTTCAAAAAATGAGTGGCCTCATGTTACCTTATGGACTGCTGAAGGGATTGCAGCCAAGGAGGCTAACTTGTTACCACAGTTGCTTGCAGAGGGGAAAGCAAATCGGATTGACTTCAATCCCCCCATCAATATATCTGCCACAGTTAACTTTTATTGAGTTCCTTTTGCTCTCGTCTTTCTAAAATAAAACATACTGAAATGAAGGTGATCACATGCATTTATTTGTTTATTTATTTAATTAACAAGATCATACACTTTGCGCATGCTGAGTGGGCATACAGGTTAGATCCAATATTTAGGGAGGATGATGGAGAAAGTTTTTGTAGGAGCGAGCATTTTCTCCTGAGGAATTGTGTATATATAAGCTGTTTACTGTTTAGAAAGCCGAGTATTGTTTCTGGAGTCTCGTGGCCGAACTTTCACCATATGAGCCTATGAGGCTCTCATCTTTGTTATAGTTCTTTCTCTTTTTTGTTTTCTAATAGTTCGGTCTCTCTTTATCCATGACATGTGTCATTCTGCTTGTGGTTACAAGTTTTTAATTATTTATTTATTAACTTTAACACTTGGCATTGTACATTAACCATATCATAGCATTTTTAGTGGGAGTTGCTTATTTGTGGATTGCTTAAATTTTAACAAAGTTGTTTGTACAAGCAACTTTGCTAAAATTTAAGTAATCCACAAATTTGATGTAGCATGATATGGTACTGGGATTGCTTACCGGAGATGCTCTTGGGGAAGCATTCATTATTAAACCCTGTGGATTTGATGTTGGAATTATTACAAGAAATTAATCTCTGTAAAATGTTAAATTATGATTAGGCCTCCTTTTAAATGGTGACTCGTTAGATAAAACAATACTTATTTAATGCATATTATTATGATCAGGTCTCTTGTGGAAGACATTTCCATTGGAAATAAGTTAATTATTTAAATAAAAGAACAATATATGCATATTATTTCTGGTTGGCTTGTAGCATGAAATTTAAATATGCGTAAAACAAATTATCAATAAGCACTTATTTATAATTTAAGTAAAATTTATGGCTAATAAAAAAATATTTAATTCAACAAAGTTGACAGGATAAAATGGACATTCGTTACTGTCTAGGGACGAACATTTGCTAACATAAAAAAATTAATATAAAACTTCACTTTTTTAGAGGGAAAAACAACACCATTAATCTGATCCATCTATTTTATTTTTATTTAAGAAAAACTATATCTAATGGTTTTTGATTATCGGTCGCCTATGAACCATATCCTCAAAACATTTTTCTTCACGGTTCATCCATGAATTAAATGTCACCCACACTCGAACGTTCATAGTAGAATTTGTACTAAATTAGTAATATGCCACATATCTCAAACCAAAGATACATTACTTCGTAAAATTAAGTTTAAATATATTTCAAATTCCTATAAATATCGTTAAATTTAGTTTTAGTCTTCATAAATTTCTTTTAAGTTTTAATCCGTATAATCTTTTTTTAAAATCTCCATAAATTAGTAATGACACTAAATGTATTTAATCTCATCGCATCAACTATTATTCAAAAATATATTTAGGTGTGTGTAATGCCATTAATAAGTAATAATTACTTTTAAGATTTTTAAATTTGTGAAGATTTAAATTTTAAAAAATGTGAATGCATGACTTTGTTTTTTGTTGATTTTTTTTTCTTCTTTTTAAAGAAGAAATTGCCTCAACATTTTTGAAAAGGTTCTTAAAATTTAAGGAACTTAATTTCAGAAAGGTAACCTAAAAAAAGTAGGCGAATGAATTTTTAGAGAAGAGTGATGATACATTCTCTGAATCGTATTCGTTCGAAACGTTAAAATATCAATATTTTTAATAAATTTATTATAAAATAATTATTTAATTTAATATTTTATAATTTAAATTATTATTTTAATCATTCAGAATGAATTTCGTCACACGCATTCGGAGGCTCAATCAAAGTAAAAATAATTTTTTTCTTTTTCATCTCTTTCTCTTTTCACCATTTCATTTCTCTTCTATTTTTATCACTTAGCTCTTTCTCTCTTTTAAGTTAAAAACAAATAAGTATTAAATAAATTATATTTTACTTGTAAGTTTATTTTAAACTAAAAAACAGATTAAATGTAGCCTTATGCATTTATTTTCTCTGTTATAAGTATTTCTTTATCAAATATGTTTGGATTGCATCCCAAAATTAAAAGAAAAATGTTAACAATACATTTTTTTTAATTAATAGTTGAAATTTATTAAAAATAATATTTTTGTAATTTTTTTTATATTTTTTTAACGAGACTTGTTCTTATTTTATAATTTGAATAAAATTTAATAAATAATAAAAAATTTATACTAATATATAAAATAAATATTCTTTTTAATAATCATCTTTATTTTTTTATTTGATAAATGATTATATCTTTTTATTATTAAAAAATAATATTTTTATTTAACTCAATATCTTCAAACTTCAAAATCAATCACAATATCAATTGAATCAATAAATATTAATTAATTAATTTAATTATTTTTATTGCTTTATTTTAATTTTTTAAATAAATATAGAAGTAGAAAGTATCCGATAGTATTCCTCCAATTTTAACTCAAAGGAAATACTATTAGACAATTTTTTTTTTTTTTTTCACGGAACTCGACTCGGGTCATAATATGGTGCGGGAAGCTTTGCCTAATACGGTGCCGTTCCAGTCCAGGTTACAAGTTTCATTCTTTCCCTTGTTTTCCCCTGTCCAATTACACTCCAAGTGACGGTGGTGGCGCTCGGTGGCGACGGCGGCGGCACTCTCTTCAGCAACCTAACGTGTAAATTCGTTATCTCATTCACTCTTGCTCTCCCATTCTTTCATTAGTTCGCGTCCTTCCTCATTTCTATACGCACGCTGTTGTCGAAGATTTTCAAATGACCGAAATTTAAAATTCCCTCAATCGAAAACACTCTGATGCAATCCCTGAGTTTTAATATCTTTGAAGCTTTTCAATCTGACTAAAGTGTTTTTCTCATCGTAGAGTGATAAGGAAAATGGCGTTCAGAGGGAAAGAGATGATGAAGAAAATTCTGAAGACAGTGGGAGAGAAGGGTTTGAGTCGAAGGGAAAAGGAATCGTTGGAGAAATGCATACCTCGAAGCAAGGTTGTCATGAATCGCGCCAAACGCGGTCTCTTCGCCGGGCGACATATTCAGTTCGGAAATCGTGTCAGTGAAGATGGCGGTAACAAGTTTGTATCCACTTCATCCATTTTTTTATTTTTATTTTGGTGTTTGTTACTTCTTATAGGAGTAGTGGTGAAAGTTTCATGCAGTAGCCACTGGTGTTAGATCTATTTTTACAGCTTCTATTGTTTAGTAACTGTGTTAAGTTACTTTTGAAATGAATTTAGAGTTTGTTTGGATAAACTTCTTTATAAGTACTTTCAGGAAAAGGAAATAAGAAAGAAAAATGAGAAAAGTTTCTCCGTAAGTTAAAATTAACTTTCAGATAAGCTAAAATGAGAGAAGTTATACAAACAAGCCCTTGGCTAATTGAAGTTTAGTATGGATTGAATAGTGATGAACTGATGATGGTCTCAGTTTGTTTCAGCTCAGTGGCCCGCATCTACTGACTCAGTTCTTTGATTCTTTCTGTTTCCCCCTACTGATTTCCAATCCTCTTTCCTTTGCATGGGAGGCCTGTTTGACTTGCTTGCCCTCGCTAAGTGGGTGGCTGGTTTTGCTGGCAGAGGCAGTCCCCAGACCTGTTCTCTCTCTTTTTCCTTATTTGTTTGTTCTTTCTACCTCTATTGCATTTGCATTATCCCTTCTTTGTTAAAATTCTTAACGGTATAAGATTAAGGATTAATAGGATTAATGTTCTGGATTCAAAATTGGAAAAGTCTAGGAGCTAATCATCTTTGGATTCCTAAAAGTAGGATCGGTAAGAGAGATGGTTAGTTTGCAAGTTGCCTCTGCACTTATTCAGTGATTGGAATCTTATGCATGTTGAATTATGGAAATTCCATTTTCCATGGAAGCAGGTCGCAATCATTAGTTTAAACTGTCAATTTCTTGGACTCTTCAAGTGCGACCAAAGCTAGATAAATTTTCTTCAATGGACCCCTTGAATGTGGTCATAATTCTGATTGAGTTCTAAACTGTACTTATTGGTCCGTTCCTGTCATTGTTCATGTCTATTAACATTGTTAGAAAATCAGTTTTCTCGATTCTGTAGTCTTGTATGTTAAATAATAAAAACAGTACTTTGTTGATGGTTAGTTCTAATAATGTCAGTACATGTCCTGTTTATCAGTTGCCTATGTTTGTTACACTGGATATGGATCCCAAAAGTTCTGCTTGCAGTATGTGTGATTTCTCTTGCATGATCTTGTTTATCACCGTAATTTCAGGATAATTACCGAAAGAATCTCTTTGTTTGTTTAGTGATCACAACATAATGCAGAACTTAAATGTTGTCTGTTGGTTGCTCAATTTTATGTAAGAAGTTCTTTTACCTTTTAATTATGTTAAAGAAATGAAAGAAAGAAACATTGAAAGAAGTATTGATGAGAACTTGTTCTTTCTCTAATGGTTTTGACAGGACAAGGAGAACTTGGAAACCTAATGTCCAGGAAAAGCGGCTCTTCAGTTATATCCTAGATTGCCATGTTCGTGTTAAAGTCACCACCCATGCCCTGCGATGCATAGACAAGGCAGGTGGGATTGATGAGTACTTGCTGAAAACTCCTTATCGCAAGATGGACACTGAAATGGGCATCCTTTGGAAGGCAAAGATTGAGAAGTTGTATGAAGAGCTTGGCAATAAGGAGGTTGTATTCTTTTCAGCCGAGGATGAAGCAAAGTTTGAACAGGACTTTAAAGATTTGAAACTATCTGAAAGGGAAGCACAAAAGGAGGTCAGAAGAAAAATGTACTCTGGGATGAGCAAGCACAAGCTAATTGAGGCAGAACGAAAAGATGATCAATCTATTGGCGAAGAAGAAATCTCGCATGATTCATCAAAACAGGTGGTCCCTGTTTCGTACGTCTTAGCTGCTGACAAGCTCAAAGTTGGAAGTATTGTTTCCAATTAATGTTATGCCCACCGATATGGCCGTGTAAGCTCTATTAGTCCATAGAGTATGAAAGTCTATGTTCTTTGATTTTTGGAACATGCTGGTTTTTTCACTCAGATTTTTGTTCTAATGCCTTAAACTTTGTGGAGCCAATAGCATAATCTATTGTGGCGAAATAATAATGTAGTTCTATATTTCTAGGGGCACTGTATTTTCCGATGGCAACTTGGTACAATCAATAGAGTATTGTTTTCATTTTTCATGTTATTTCTTTCATTTCCTTTTCACATTTTCCTTATGCAAGGGGATGTTTTGGACCTTCTGATTAGACTAGTTCTTTAACAAAGGTGAACCGCTTGCATTTCTATAACAAAAGGAAAAGATATCATAGGTGGTTTTAAGATATCTGTAGTCTTTCCCAAATTCTCCCGAATTGCATGTCTACGGTTTCGCTCTTTTTACTTCTCCCTCCAGCAAATATAAATAAAATTGATTAATTTAAGCGTTAACAAAGAAAGTTAGTAAATATTATTTATTTTTATTGATCTCATTTTAATTTTTTTAAAATTATCCTTTATTGAAACTTGAAATAAAAATAATGGTAATTAAAAATAAGATTTCAATTAAATTAATAATATTAGCTAAAATTTACATATATTTTAATTCATCATTTATGATTTTTTTTCTTATGAGTTTGTGTGACAAAAAATTTCTCAAATGAGGACCAAAAATTATGCTTTTTTTTTCTTTTGAATAAATAGACTATTTTTTTTTTTAATCTAACAAGGCTTTTCTTATATACAACTAGAAACCGAATCCTAACTAATATGCTTACAAGACTCGAGTCTATTTTTTTTTACTCTCAACTTTCCAATCTGCTTTTCACACTCGTTATAGTGTACAATTTTTTTTTCTGCCTTTGGTCGTGGTATACTTGTAGTTAACAATATTAATTTGCCAGAGAGCCACCATATCCTCAAGGTGTTACTTTGGTAATTGTCCTGTTATTGCTGAAAGAAACTTTTACCTTCATACAGAGCTAGATATATGACGAGTTAAGAGTTATTGACCATATTAGCATAAAATAAACAGGTTTTTCCTTTTTCCTGGCTTTGTACACTAAACATGATGAAACATTCACAGACGTATCCTGTAGATTTGACGGTGAAATTGTCATAAGAAATTAAAATTTAAAGCCTTACATACCCTATAGCGCACATGAGAAAGTGAGTGGTACCAACGAAGTTAATGAATTGTCCTGTAGATAAGTGCAAGGTATGTTTTGTGGCTTGCTTATCCTTTGAAAGGATGAATACAATGTTTACAAAAATGTTCCAACTACAAATCAAATTTCTATTTTATACAAGATGGGATGGAATAGATAGTTGGAAAAATAATGGACATGTGGTTACAACAACAGTACATTTTGATAAATGAATAAAATAATTCTTAGCGTAAACCTATTTAGGCCTATGATAAGCTCTGATTAAATATCACGCTTTTCTTAATGAAGGCTTTCACCGTTATTGATGCAGCAAACAATAACATTAGAGAGTCAGCATTTGGATATATCCCCTTCTTTGATATTTGAATCATTGCTTTTAGGGGAAACTGCTCCTTTGCTATCAGTGTATGCCGGACAGACAGTTTTAAATTGACAGAATCCACATTTCCAGCGCTCTTCCTCAGGAGTACAAGTGGCTTCTCGTTCTCCCAGCCAGAACTCAAGACAATAATGAATTTGATTCTTTACCCAAACAGAATCATATGCAAATTTATCTTCACCAAGCAGCGAATGATCTTTCTGATACTCATATCTGATATGACATGAAGCAAACACAACCATGTCCTTACAAAATCAAACTTCAAATATAAAAGCCATTTAGTGCAATCCAACTGCTATTCATTCTGACTGATAAATTTATCAACATGACTTATCACTTTTCCTTGTCTTCAAAAAAATTGGTTCAACATTTCAAGTTTTTACTCAAGATATGCAACTTGTGCTAGTGTGTGTTTAGGTGGTTCACCCACCTGGGAAAGGCAGTGATAGATTTCTTTAGAAATTCAAATTGAAGGGTGATGAATATTGTAACTATTCCATCTAAAAGCCACTTTGTTGAAAGCTATCATTAGGTCCTGTTATTGTCCAGAACAACTTTGGCAATCAATAAAAACACAAATTAAGCACATGAGCCTCTGGCTCCAAGATGGATACCTCAATAAGAGTTGATCATGAGCAGGGGCCAGCATCCTGCATGTATTTCTGTAATATCTCACCACATCATCCAGGGTCTGCATTTGACAATAATAAAAATAGGAAAGAAAATTATGTACAAGTCATGCTTCACTCGCAAATCAGCTGAAACTTTTATGGAAGAATATTATGATAGTGTAAAAAAGTTTAACTTTGATTGTGGAAAAAATTAAATGCTTCATGGAAACTTTACAATGCATATTTCTAGAGGAAACACTGCTTTGACCAAGATACACTCAAATCAAGCAGTGCTATAGTATAATTGTCCTCAAAAGGATGATCAGTAATTTATTCAATACTTGGTTTATGAAAGAACAATTTTGTAAAAATGCAGCATAGCATAACCACCTAACTTATCACAATTCCTGAAACGAAAGAGAATAAAATTACAGTGACTTTGAGAACATTATAAGCAACTCAATATATCCTGTACTTACCGAAGCTGAAAATCCAGAGTCAGAACTTATCACTTTCAGATCTTGACATAGATTATATTGAGGGTTTAAGCCAAAATAAGTGAAGAATTTTTCGGAAGGGAAATCATCAGCAACTAAATTGTCCCACAAATACTTGTAGCACATCAACTGAAGCCTGCAAAAAGTAAGAGCACCATAATGATTCTATCAAATGCATTAGCATGCAATACCACATCCATCAGAATGAAATAAATGGCAGAAGAATAAGTGAACCTTCCATTTCTTCGTTGTGGTTCAGCA